ATGGAGATTCGTGGAAAACGATTTGGGAGCCTTGAGTGTGTCGTACAGTCAAACGAGTTCGGCTCGGTCAGACTAGGCAGTCTGACGGATCGACGCAAGTCGGTTGATACAGAAGACGGTGGTGAGATCGGCGACGACGACATAGGAGCGTGATGCTGATGGTGACCGACTTCTGGGCGTGGAAACACGTGGTGCACATGCCCGAGGCTTGTGCAGCTTCGACAAGACTATGGCGCGGGGTTGATTCAAGGTGATGTACAGACGGAGCTTGAAGTCGACGGGGCGTGAGGGTGGATTGATCATCTACCATGGAGTCATGTTGAAGGTGGAGCTGGATTGAGGGGCTACGGTGTAAGGATCCAGAGAATCGAAGCCTATTCAGCGGAAGAAAAGCGAGGGACACGTAATTCGGACTGGAGCCCGATGGTCTGGTGGAAGCGTAAAACTCGTCATCGGTCGGTGATGATCGGTGGTACTATGCAGTGGGGGTTGAGTGGTGTGGGTCCGCGACCCTTGAGACTCGACCGGGACAGCAGAGGCTCGGTGCGGTAATAGTGGCGAGGCGTGCGGTACGCACGGGACATGGAGACGGGCCAGGGCTCTGGTGGTCATACATGTGGTGAGACAACTGCGAATTTGACTCGGGATGACTACAAGCAATGGTTAAATTTCTTCAAGTTTCAGACAGGCGGTCAAGAAAGGAGCGGTGATGTTGAGTTCAGGTAACTCTTATGTGTGACACCCAATATGTGAGTTGTTCACTTTCACGCAGGTCAGTGATCGGTGTGTGATGGCATTGACGGATACTCTGGAAGTTGGGAGCACGGACTAGAGTAATAAGGAACTTAATTTTGCTCGTGTGTTGACTGTGGTCAAGAAAAGAAGGGACTACAAGTTGCAAGTGGAGTCACATGGAGTCTTTGGAGTAGCAGCGGTTTTCATGGGATAAGCTCAAGTCCAATGTACATGGAAGTTTGACGCATTGACGAATTCAAGGTGGTGGAGAATATTCGCCAAGGTGGAGTTTGTTAGAGTTGTGTCGAATATTGTGTACAAGGTAGGTTACAGTTAGACTTGTAGTTGTATTGTGTTTACATAGGATATGTAGGCGTGTCCTAGTAGGACACTTGTATTCTAGGCCTCTCATATATAGCGCGGGTAGACACACGATATAACCTATGCCAGCATAATAGCACAGGCGCGCAAGGGGAGCCGGCGGCGTGTGCCGGCGCCCGGGCGGCCGGTGTGCGGTATTGTGACGGTGTCACGGGGAGGAGCGCCCATAGTCAGGCCCCGGGGATGTAGCCATATCGGTGAACCTCGTTAACAAATCTCGGTGTCGTGCTCGTGTGATTGCTTGGTCCTCGGATGATCAACGGTACGCCCCGGATTTATTCTAACACTGTGTGAAAGTTGATTGCAATGAACATGTCATGTTAATTGAATGAATGATGGTTTCCCCTTTACTACTCAAAGAGCATAATTTTATCAGTAGATAGAAAAGATTAAAACCAGGGAGATTTTGAGACATAACTAACACCTAAACTAAACTTTTGAATTCCACAATTCATCCTAGTTACTAATAAAATACTATCCCTTCCTCCCTTTGTTTGAATCTTGCAGCCTTTCTCTAATTTCTTGAATGGGAGCAATGGTAGGCTGGGGCCGGAGCCACAAATTTACCCCGTCAGCGCCCGATCCGTGGCGCAACCACTCGAGGAGTTTTGCCTCGCGGTTGATGAAGTTGTACCTAAACACGCATGCCTCAAGGACGAAGTAGGCACACCCACCGTCCATGCCTAGCTCTGTGGCGTCCACGGAGAAGCTAGCCGGGGAACCAAGGAATAGAACACGGTCGCTCAAGCTCCGTCCTTCTCTCTCGACCCACCGCATCTTGTCGTCCCCATTCGCTTCTTCCAGCGCCTCCAATTCCACCAAGAGTGTGCCTGACGAGAGATCATCATTGACCTGCCAACCTTGCTCGTGTAGAACGAATGCCGATATAAGCTCGCCACGGGATTCCAAAAGGTACGTGCCACCACAGATGTAGTCTCTTTCATTGATTGCATTCAACTTTGGCACTAACTTGTCGCATGCGCGCACATAGATCTTGCTATTGTGATACGCTACGTTCAAAAGCCTACTTCTTGGCACATCTAGCTCCTTCAGCGTGATGCTCCATGCTGCATCACCAGGAGGCATGGTGGCCGCCGTTAGGATCATCGTGTGCTCTTGTCGAATACAGGTGTATAGGAAAACGGTGCCATCACCATAGACGATACCACGAGGATTACCACGGGGATCCTTCCAAAGCTGTTTCGTCTTATCATCAGCATTCTCTGGAAGCTGAGACATCAGGGTGATGTCCCCTGTGAGAAGATTTACGAGTTTTGGCTGGGTACTCCATGTGAAGATCCATGCGGCCGTGCCATCTCTGCTACCCACCCACTTTCTATCATCAGCTGATGATGCACCAGGCGGCTCCGCGAGGACCATGTCATCACAGTCACGGCGTAGGCCCGAGGTCGACACGCCCTCAAAGTTGACGGCAGAGTGTACAATAATGCCGTCACATGGCATGAGGAGCCACGGCCGGAACATGGGCCGCGTTCGTGGAGAGTGCAGTAGTCCTGCACCACGCCACGACGTGCAGACGGTATGGAAGCGAACGAAGTCGGCGAGTTCATGTAGGCGGCCGGAGATGTCGAGAAGCAGTTCCGGCGGCAGGTCCGCCCATGGTGGCCTCAAGGCGGACATGCGGCGCAGGACGATGATCCAATCCAAAGAGATCACGATCGTAGAGCCACCGGAGTCCTTTTAATCTTTTTTTTTATTTTGAGGGGAGGAGTCCTTTTAATCAATCGTTGTCTCTTTCTTATCGTTTCTCTCGCAGCCCATATTAATACTTCTGGCCCAATCGTTTTCAATCACATTCACTCCTAAGGGAAAACGCACGGGGGCCTATACATGAGGCCGGCCCAATCGATTTCATGAGGCCGTGGCTTGCTGTTTGGTTTTGAACCACATATATGAAGCTTTGCCAATAATTCTGGTCGTAGGATCCGATACGGGTAAGAATTTTTTTTTTTTGAAAAACTTTCAATCTATTCATCTTCAATCATGGCAAAACAACGAACACCAGAAATAAAAATTACATCCAGATCCGTAGACCATCTAGCGACGACTACAAGCACTGAAGCGAGCCGAAGGCGTGCCGCCGTCATGACCCCTCCAATGCCACAGTCGGGCACAACTTTTTGTAGTAGACAGTCGGGAAGTCGTTGTGCTAAGGCCCCATAGGACCAGCGCACCAGAACAGCAACCGCCGCCGATGAAGAATAACCTAGGTTGGAAGGATTCAACCCGAAGACACACGAACGTAGATGAACAACGACGAGATCCGAGCAAATCCATCAAAGATAGATCCGCCAGAGACACACCTCCACACGCCCACCAACGATGCTAGATGCACCACCGAAACGGGGGCTAGGCGGGGAGACCTTTATTCCATCTTCAGGGAGCCGCCGCCGTCTCGCCTTTCTGAGCATGACACAAACCCTAACAAGACAGGAAAAAACGACTGAAAACGGAGCCCTCCTGCCGGCCCTTAGCAAGATCCACCGCGCCCCCATGGCCCTTAGGGCCACTGGAGACGAGGCGGACCTGCGGCGGTGCCGGCGAGAGGCAGAAACCCTAGCTTTCTTTCTTGAAGGAGGAGGAGCGACTTGGCTGCTAATAAGAAGCTAAACCCTCATACAGTCCCGATACGGGTAAATTAAGGGGATGCACATTTCGAAGGTGGCTGCAGCATTTGTGCAATAAAAATATCAAGATTAGATGTAAATATTCAGATTTGGTTCATTGTAATCAGATGGAGAGATGATGCCTTTTTGCACTGACTAACAAGCAACTCCTCCGCGCAGGTCATAAGCCCCAAATAACAAAAGATGTAGCGGACAGCCTGTTGTCAACGAAAACTGGTGCTGCGGAGGTAATAAGCCATGGTTTAGTCTTTAGTGGGACTGCACTCCGGCAATCCGAAAGTCAGGGATATCGTAACGAACAAACATCCAAGTAGTGTACTACCAAAGAAACAAATCTTGCACTTTTAAGTAACAGTTTTGCTAATGCACAGCTGGATATGCCATAAGTATTGCACACTTGATTGTGTCATCTAGATGTGCAATAACTATAGCACATCTAGATGTGTTCTAGACAAATCCTTCTATATTTTTTTGAGGTGCACACACATGGGCTCACATGGCCTCCTATGATATATACTCCAGTATATCCCCAACCCTAACGCACAGAAGGCGATCAAAATGGAAGGCGGCGGTGTCCACATCATCTCCAGCCGCATGGTCAAGCCAGAGTATCAAAACAGCTCAGTGCCGCCCGAGCTTCAGACCGTCCACCTGACGCCATGGGACCTGCGGCGGATCACCGTGGGCTACATCCAGGAAGGAGTCCTCCTGCCCAAGCCTCCCGCCAGCGCCGTCCAACACCTCGCGTCCTCCTTCGCACGCGCCTTGGGCCGCTTCTACCCCCTTGCCGGCCGCTTCGCCGTCGCGCCCGCTGCCAGTGCCGGCGCTCTAACGATCTCTCTCCGCTGCGGGGACGAAGGCGCCGAGTTCATCCACGCCGTGGCGCCCGGGGTCGACGTATCCGACATCTCCGGCCCGCTCCGGGTCATCCCGCGCGTCGTCTCCTCTTTCTTCCCTCTCAACGGGATGCTCAGCACCAACGCGGCCGTTGACCCCAGCCGGCCGCTCCTGGCCGTCCAGGTCACCGAGCTCGCCGACGGCGTCTTCGTCGCCACGTCGCTCAGCCACGCGGCCGCGGACGGCACAACGTTGTGGGACTTTTTCAACACATGGTCAGAGATCAGCCGAAGAGGTGACGGCAACATATTCACAGCGGCGCCATTGCCTCCATTTGAGAGATGGTTCCACGACGGCTGCCCCGTGCCGATCCCTCTGCCCTTTGCCGAGGTGCAGGACATGGCGAGGCGGTTTGAGTGCCCGCCGGTGCAGGAATGCCGGATCCATTTCTCCCCGGAGAGCATACAGAAGCTCAAGGCTAAAGCGAACGCCGAGATGGCCGGCACGGCCACGGCCACCATCTCCTCGTTGCAGGCCCTGCTCGCGCACCTGTGGCGAGCGGTGTGTCGAGCCCGGGGGCTGGCGCCGGACCGGGAGACGAGGCTCGTCCTCCCCGTCGGATGCAGGACACGGGTGAAGGGTATTCCACAGGGTTACGTGGGCAAGATCCTAGGGGACAGCCGGCTGGGCTGGACGGCTTGGCTACTCAACCGTGTTGTGGCTTCGGTCGACGAGGCGACGGTGACAGAGGAGCTCGTGTCTTGGTCTAAAAACCCCAGCTTAAGATACGCGCCTGACTTAGGTGGGGATCCTGCCATTGTGGTAGTGAGCGGCTCGCCGCGGTTTGATGTGTATGGCAATGACTTTGGCTGGGGCAGGCCGCTGGGCGTCCGGACCGGCCCGGGGAACAAGCTGGACGGGTTGATCACGGTTTTTGAGGACGGCGGAGGGGCCGGGGCATGGAACTGGAGGTGTGTCTTGCTCCTCATGTTCTCGCCAAGCTCGTCGCCGACCAAGAGTTGAAGAACCTCTAGAAGGGCAGAGATGGTCCTCTCCTGAATCCTGATGCCCTCACCGACGGAGAGTCTGGTTCCGGTGCTTCATTTTCTTCCTTCAAATGCCGTGTCTGTGATGTACTTCCTCCATCTGAAAATACTTGTGATCAAAATGGATAAAAAGATATGTATCTAGAACTAAAATACGTCTAGATACATCTTTTTTTATTCATTTTGATTATAAGTATTTCCGGACGTAATAATTCTGATGCCCAGCGTAAGGTTGCACTTTTTTCTTCTTCTTTGGTGGCAGTTTCTGTTGCTAGCTTGTCAGGTCGCACTTTGAGTGTGTCACCTAAACAAATTTCTTTGCCTCAGTCATACTAACAAATCAAACAACAGACATATTTTGTTCTCTTCCACACATAATTTTCGATAGTTATACCAATCAAAAGGATGAAGACTAAAATGGCTTATCATTTGAATACTTTCAAAATATAAATCAAACAAAGATTTACTTTTTTTCTCAGAATTAAATCCCATTTGTACCCTCTATTTCTTTAAGAAAATAAAATACTACAAAATTTACAACCACGAGGCCCGGCACCCCTCCCAGGCAGCACCAAGTGCCGAGAGGGTGGGCGCCGCCGCCACTGACTTCCGCCGTCCCGTCGCTCTCTTCACCGGTGCTGGTACCTTTCCTCTGCCGCCACAGCCTTCGTGTACCATTTCCATAGAATTTAGGTTGGGCAACATTGTTATCTGTTCATTTTGATGGTGCGTGAAGAAAATTAGCGTCCCCTATACGTGTTTAGCTATCTTGACTTGAAAGATTCTGCTGATAGTGACGTGCCACCTGCTCAACGCTGGTTTATATAAAAAACAATCCAACTTGCCCCAACAATAGCTAGCTAAACTAATGAACCAAGGCGCTGACTTAAAATGAGTAGCAATTTGAACAGATAGAAATGTCACTGTTGCAGCTAGCAACAAGCTAGCAACACCTTCATATTTATATGGACCAACCAATGTGTAGAGGTGGCTGCGAAAAACAGGAATGCTACTGTATCATACCAAGTCTTGGTACCATCGTCTTAATTTATATTTTCTTATTATCTTCTGTTGTGTCTGATGCCAACTTGGAGTGTACCCGCAAAAAAAAACTTGATTAAGAGTGAAAACACATGTTAAATGGTAATTTTATTAGGTTTTTTAGACAAATTTTATTAGTTCTTTAGTAAAGACCAATTTTATTAGTTAGGTGACGGCAAATCAAATGATGGCCGGCAGCAATACGGGCCAAATTTAGTCCCTTTGCCCACTCATTTCTCCCCACCTAGTAGTTAGCTAGAGACAACTTAAGTTAGTTCCCGCAGAATAAAATAGATGAATATAAAGCCTTCTCTATGTTATTGTTGTGGCAGCTAACAAGCTACTAACAACTTTCTCTTATTAACATGAACAAACCAATGCATAGAGGAGACTTCAAGAAATAGCTAGACTACATGTATCGTACTACCAAGTCTTGGTACCCTTGTCTTAATCTATCTTTTGTTATGTATGTTATATATGATGCACATCTAGTTAGAGTGAAACCAGTGTTAAATAAATGATGGCATCATGTGGAGTAGGTGTACATGCATGCATTGAGCAGCAAACCAAATGAGGGCCTGAGGAGTGTATGCACCATCATGGGAGCATCCCAGTTCTTTTTCTTCCACAGCAGTTTGCAGCTTCTTCTCCCCTTTGGACAATGGTGGGAGGCCAGATACTTGGACAAAGTAGGTCACTGCGAGTCAGGGGCAGACATATATAGAACGTAAAAATAAAAGAATGTGCGGTTGGGTAGTGTTTCCATTAACATAGAACTAAACTGCAGTACAACTTAATCACAATCAACAACTAAAGTAGATGTACCTTTTTTTCTGCAGTTCAACAACCTAAGAGCCGCGGTGCCGTGTCCTACTATTGTTTGTTCAAACTCCCTGTCCGCGCCCGATCCGTGGTGCAACCACTCCAGGAGTTTTGCCTCGCTGTTGATGAAGTTGTACCTAAACATGTAGGTCCCAAACATGAAGTAGGCACACCCGCCGTCCATGTCTAGCTCTGTGGCGTCCACGGAGAAGCTGGCCGGGGAACCAAGGAAGAGAACACGGTCTCTCAAGCTCCATCCTTGTCTCTGCACCCACCTCAACTTGCCGTCCCCGTTCGTTTCTTCCGGCGCTTCCAATTCCACCAAGAGTGCGCCCCATGGCGTGCCATCACTGACCTGCCAACCGTGCTCGTGTAGGACGGAGGCTGATATAAGCTCACCACTGGATTCCAAAAGGTACGTGCCATCACAGATGTAGTCTCTTCCATTGATTGCATTCAACTTTGGCACTAACTTGTCGCATGCGCGCACATAGATCTTGCTATTGTGACACGCTACGTCCAAAAACCTACCTCTTCTCACATCTAGATTCCATGAGGATTACCACAGGGATCTTTCCAAAGTTGTTTCGTCTTATCATCAACATTGTCTAGAAGCTTAGACATCAGGGTGATGTCTCCCGTGAGAAGATTTACAAGTTTTGGCTCGGTACTCCACGTGAAGAACCATGCAGCCGTGCCATCTATGCTAGCCACCCACTTTCTATCGTCGGCCGACGATGCACCAGGCGGCTCTGCGAGGACCATGTCGTCGCAGTCACGGCGTAGGCCCGAGGTCGACATGCCCCCGAAGTTGACGACGGAGTGTACAATGATGCCGTCACATGGCATGAGGAGCCACGGCCGGAACATGGGCCGCGTCCGTGGAGAGTGCAGTAGTCCTGCACCACGCGACGACATGCAGACGGTATGTAAGGGGACGAAGTCGGCAGGTTCATGTAGGCAGCCGGAGATGTCGAGAAGCAGTTCCGGCGGCAGGTCCGCCCACGGTGGCCTCAAGGCAGACATGCCGCGCCGGACGATGATCGAATCCAAAGAGATCACGATCTCGTATTCACATAGAGCCACCGGAGTCCTTTTAATCTCTTTTTTTTTTAGTTGAGGGGAGGAGTCCTTTTAATCAATCGTTGTCTGTTCTTATCGTTTCTCTGGCAACCCATATTAATACTTCTGGCCCAATCGATTTCACGTGGCCGTGGCTTGCTGTTTGGTTCTGAATCACATATACAAATTCTGGTGGTAGGATCCGATACGGGTAAAAGGGGATGCACATTTCGAAGGTGGCTGCAGCATTTAATTTGTGCAATAAAAATATCAAGGTCAGATGTAAATATTCAGATCTGGTTCATTTTAATCAGATGGAGAGATGATGCCTTTTTGCACCCTCTAACAAGCAACTCCTCTGCGCCCCATATAAGAGAAGATGTAGCGGACAGCCTTTTTGTCAACGAAAACTGGTGGTGCAGAGGTAATAAGGCATTTTGTTCATGGTTTAGTGGGACTGCACTCCGGCGATCCGAAAGTTAGGGATTACATTACAGTTCCTATGTAATAAAGAATCTAAACGAACAGCTTCTTCCGCACGCACATCTGTGACGGCGAACCACCATATTTGCATCTCTTGTTGCGCACTCAAGCTTGATTGAACCCCTGGACGGACGGACGTACGTTTGAGGATACCTACCTAGGTGGACCTGGTGAAAATGGTGAGTTTGTTCTTGTCAGCAAAGCAATGCTGCTCTCATGCATCTCATTCGGCTTGCTTCAAGTCCTGTCCTTCACTTGTATCCCCTTGAGGGGTGAGCTTGAACTAATAAGATTGAATATCTTGATATATGTAAGCCTCGCATGAATAGATGATTACTTAGTCGAGCCAAGCGAGTACTATTTAAAAAAAAATCAGAGAGGAAGGGGCAGATGGCGAACACGGCGGTGAGCGGAGACTTCGGCGCGCGTGACGAGCGGCCGTCGAGGAAGGGGGGCGATGCGGGCGATCCCGATGACACGAGATGGGAGGTCTCGTTTGCGCCTGATTTCCGATCGCGACGCTCGATCTTGTTCCAGCCAGGGATTCTGCTTCTCCGACACGAGGCGCTCCGACTGGTGCTGCTCGACGCCGGCGGGCAGACGGTTGACGCGCGGGCGCTTCGGGAAGGAGAAGGTGAGCTAGAGCACCCAAATGCCCTCCCCTCGCCGGCCAGCAAAAAACAGAGCACTGTGGAGTGCTCTGCTATGGCGATGGGGTATATATACGCAACTCATTTGTCTCGGTTCGTGGCTGGAACCGGGACTAAAGCTCCCCCTTCTGTCCCGGTTCGAGCCACGAACCGGGGCCAATGGCTGTGGGCCAGGAGCGAGGCCCATTGATCGCGGTTCGTGCCTAGAACCGGGACAAATTGGTCCAGACGAACCGGGACCATGCCCACGAGGCCCCGGCCGGCCCCCTAGGCTCACGAACCGGGACTAATGGGATGGCCAGGCCCGAACTGAAGCCCTGTTTTCTACTAGTGTTAGTGCTCTTTACGCAGCTGTAATTATGTACAAATAACTTCATGCAGTACAGTTCAACTTTGGAACCTTCTCTACGCTCCAAGATGTAACAAATAACTTTGAATCCACCCTTCATTTTCTTTCTGCTGAGACCTGCACCGTCCGCGCAGACGGCGAGGAGCACGGCAACGGCGACAAGGGCCATTGCTTTCTGCTGAGACCAAAGCAAAGTGGATCTCTGCTCTGCATGCGCGTCCATCGTCTGCTTTGTTTTAGTAGCACTACTTTTTTTATGATTGGTGTCGTAGGACAGGCACGTTCTTGCTGGCTTGAGGATCACAACCAAGTCTTGTTTTACGGAAAGATACAAAGGAGAAATTAAAGCATGACGCCACTGATTGCAAGCTTCAATCTACGAATAAAGCAGAGACCACCTGGTTGATTCTCACGTACTACGTGCATGGGCCCTCGGGCCGGGTAGTAGATTTTATTTTTCAAGGAGGAGGATCACCCCATAGCTTTTCTTTTTTCTCTTCTATTGCTTTCCTCTTGCCATCCTTTTTTTTTTTGTGAAATCTCTTGCCATCCTTCTCGCCATGAACCGGA